TCTTTACCAGAGACAGAGGAAATGGGGTGGGGGGAGAGGAATATACCGCAGAAGAGGGCAGCATCCCTGAGCTATACCAATTTGAGCCTCTAGTTGTAGAGACTAACGAGGCCACTGGTGGGGCCGAGCCTCGCATTGCATCCGACCATAAAATAAGGAAAGATTCTTAGTGGTATACTGGTGTGGGCATTTTAAATGATAGGTTATATGTAGATTGGATTAAACTGTAAAAATCTAATCTCCTTTATGTATCATTTCCAGATGGTTGTGGTCAGAATTTCTACAGTTTTAAGATGTTCCTGGGACTCGATCTTAGGGTGAGAAAGCCTTTTCTGTTCGTGCTTAAGACAACTGCAGTCTCACTGTAAAGGTGGTCAGTTATTGAGGATTTTCAGTTTGAATTTAATTCAAATTTGCTTTAAATCCAGCTCAGCATAAACATCTTTTTTAATATTCCGTTATTCTCTTGTACTCACTCTTCTTAGAGCTTTTGGCTCTTATATCATTTTTTCTTTATCTAATAATTGCATTTTCATGTCCAATGTGCCACTTTTAAGTTTTTTTTGTTTAAATGTATTGACATGCTCAGCACTTGAGACGATTTAAGTGTGTAAAGTGCTTTATAAATAATTACTGATTTATTCTTAACCTGTATTTCTTTCAAAGTACGAATAAGTTATTTGGTAGATAAACTTTGGTCATTCATAAACTAACCTAATGTTTCAGTCCAAATCTCTTCCAGCACAATGGTGGCTCCAATTTACTTCAACTCTATGTTTTTCTAAGCAGATTTTTTATGTGGGCTAATGGAAATCCATGCCATTCCAGCACAGAGGAGCCCCCATTCATTCCCTGCATTATGAAAGAGTCTATTTACAGATCAGGAAAGGTGGACATGACATGAGTTTACTGTCTTATTGGGGTATGCAGTCAGTGAGCAAAACACTGTTTTAGTACTCAGTAAAATTGCCCTATAAACTCAAAGTTAGTTGAGATGTTCCACCAGCTTCTCTTTTTAGTTTACTAGAATAAGTCCTGACAAAACTGCCTGCTGAACCAGTACTGTAGGTCACCTTGCTCACATAGAACTTAATAAACTTTTTTCTTTGTTTACTTTCAGTCCATTTGAAACTGACTTGAAAACGTTCTTTCAGATGTTGTTCATTTAAACACCAGTTCATTCCCAAACCTTAAAATATTTTTACTTATATACATATTTTACTTTTCCTCCTGACCCGAACACTGCAAAAACAATTTCTATCTACTATATCTATCTAAATAAGTAAACATTTCTTAAATTAAATGTATTTATCCCTAATTTGAGTTGGTAAATCAGATGATTTGTCCTTGGAATGGGTATTTTTACTCTTAAAAAAGATAATTAGACTATATGCACTTGGAATAAGACATTGCAATTGTTTTGTTCTTATTTAAAGAGTAAATTGTCTTGTTCCGTTATCAAACTGTCTCACTTACCTGCTTAATTAAAGAAAATAAATAATTAAATTTAAGAAAAATTTTACAAAAAATAGATAAAATTGATTTGCTGTGCAGCTTCGCCCTTTTCCCCTCAAATATAAAAGCTGTAAATGTCCTTTTTATAGTTAAAAAAAATTCCTCTTCCTTACTGCTTTCTTTTAGAATCTGTTAAATTTCTGGTTGTCTGTACTCCCCCTTATGTTTGTTCAGATTACCTTTAGCAACCTCCCCTCTAGCCAAAAACCTTGTAGTCATCAAATGACCTAAAGAGACAGTTGTTTTTAGGGTTTTAACCATAGAAGGCTGTTGCCCTTTTAATATTTAGCTTAGTTGACCATAAAATTTATGCAAAGCTATAGGAAGATGTTTGACTCTTCTATGCTTCGATGCAACTCACAGTTTAGCATTACAGTAGTGACACCAAAGTGCCAATAGTTTTTAGTTAACGGCATGCTTTAGCTCAGGATGTTTCTTGTTGTTCCTGAACATGAATTTGAAACAACTTTTCCTTTTACAGATTCGCCTTAATGGATTATCCTAAAATCTACAAATAAGATATTCAGAATGTTCCTTTCAACATGCTTACTAAGGGTTTTTAACCAAAGTCATCCTATGGTGGTAAAGAAAAACTAAGAGCTGCAAAAAAATCATGATCTCAAAGGAATTAATAATAGGATTGGTGTCTGAACATACAGGTTAAATCAATTTTATATAGACCACTTTAGTCTTTAGTCTTTAAAAGGGTTGGTTACAACTATACTAATAAAACTTTTGATTCTAGGATTTTATTTACAAAAAACATTTATCTGGCATTGTGACTTTACTCCCTTTCATTTATAATTTTAAGAGCTTTTTCACCCTTTAAAAGAACATATGCCTCTATGAAGACCCAATAACTTGCTGTTAAAGGTCATAATTGGTCCACGGTCCTTATGTTTGACATTTGTGATAAAGGTGATTTTTTTTAGCTGAATAAATTAGGTGTATCTATTTATTTATGTTGACAAACAGATGATGTAGAATAAGCAGTTAAAACCTAAAATAACATGGAATCACTGCAATAATGGGTTCATTTAAACCCCTGACATCAAATATTAGTGTCTCCAGATAAGAGATTAATGGCAACCATCACACTTACTGACAGCTTTACTCTTTATAATGTCATGTTGACAGAAGCTGGGGCTTTACTTGAGAAGTATGATAAGGATAGCTCGTCTGTGTTAATAGTTATTCATCACTCTTTTTTAAACAAATGAGATTGGAAATATATTTTAAGTACAAAAGGACATTAAATTGGTTGAGTGTGTTCTCCATTCTGTGATATATCATGTTTATTATAAAGTGTTAATTATTTGCGGATAAAAAGTTCACTTCCTTGCACCCAGCTAGTCTTCCAGAGAGCACCGCTCTCTCGATTAGACCGATGGTTTGGAAGCAAGGAGGAGGGCCGTGTGTCCACCGTTCCTCCCATCACCTGTGAAATTTCAGAGCCAAGCTACGGTGAAAGGGGGCTTTGTGTCGCCCTGCCGAGGAATGCCCTCACATTGCTCGTCAAAGAAAAGGCTTCATCTGGGCTGGAATTTGGAGGCATCTTGAGAACTGTAAGGGTGTTTTTCCTCGGGGGGAGGGGAGAGGATGAAGAAAGTCATGATTTTTGGGTGGACCAGAAAATCACAACTCTTCTATCACTATTAATTTAATTTTCTATAATATTAGATTACCTGTCATATAATGCCAAAAGGTGGTCAGTTTCTATCAGATTTTAGAGATGAATTTGAATAAAATGTGGGAGAAATTATTAACCCTTTATAGAGCACTCAGTGAGCCAATAGTGTTACTGGAATCCAGGACAAGACTGTATTACCTTTACCTACCTTACATTAAAAAAAATATGGATATTTTATGAATGAATGTTAATGTAATAACAAGAAATCCCAACTTGCCCGAATATATTAGGAAAAATAACAAAGTCTTCTATAAGAAAGTCATGAAAAACACTCAGAGAGTAAAAGAAACCATTTTTTTTTTTTTTGTACAACATAACCTTAGTGGCATTAATGCTGATCCTAACACCTACATTTTTTAGGTTATAAATCTAAATATACCTATTAACTAGGCTTATTAATTTTTTTACTTTTCAATTAGCTTTTTACCTTTTTTTTTCTTGACTTGTTAACTTTTTTTTCAACTTAATTTACAGTAGCTAATATATCATTCAAGGGCTCATCTAATTGGTCAAATGCCAAAATAACATGTGCAGCCATGTAGCAGTATCTTTGCTTAATGGCTGGATATAGATCTTGCGCTTCTAGACTTCACTGAGGGAAGGGGGGGGGACTCCATTTGTAAGGAGTATACAAGTGATCAGAAATGGTAAGTTGTCCTATAAATGGTGAAATATTGATGAAATAGTTCACTTTAGTTACCTTGAGACATTTATCATTTACATTACAGCTAAATTCATGTTTCAACACATGTTGCAAGATGCTGCTGGTGTTTCAACATGGTTAGGGTGACATCTGCTGGGGGAAATTAGGTGACATGTTAGTTTCATGTAGAAACAAGACATTGGAGATAAAAAATGTACTGTTTGAAAGTAATCCAAATATGTGACTCATGTGGATGTGTTCCATTTCACAGTCCTCCACTGCACTTATTTATGTATTCTGTTATGTAATAAACCCCAGCAGGGAGCTGAGGCAGGAAATTATCAAGCACTCACAGGAAACTATGTGGTAACATACAAAAAACATTGATAGGTAGGTGGTAGGATTTGGAGGCACAGATATCATTCTTTCTAATGAATTAACTGTTATATTATAGGCACTGTAGTGGGTAGAAGTGGGCTGTAGTGATGTTATGCACTAAATCTTTACTTGCCTTTTTGGCATCTAGTCGAAGAGAATAGTGCAGAGCTAGGACGGTTTAGTGATTTTTTGTTTTTTGTTTTAAGTGAAGAGGTTTGGATCTGATGCTGGTTTTCTCCATGTTGGAAAAATGGGTCACTATGCAAAATAAATTACTAAAGAAACTGCATCACAACAGGAGAAGAATCAAGATGGTAGAAGAGGCAAAAAAGATATATGCACACAATAAAATCTTCATAAACCTATGCAAGGTTAGACTTGAGGCAGTCAAAGGAGGGATGTCTGAAATGAAAAGCAGGTTTAAAACAGGCACTGTCCTTAACTTTTCAGGGATTAAACTGTTCTATAAATTTCCCTAAAGCTGTAAAAATAACCGACCTTTAAATGATGTCCCAGGGAGATTTTTGAAAATTAAAAATGCTGCTTGCTAAATATATCACAGATTACATTAAAAATCTAATCTTTTTTAACCAGTTGTTTCTATTAAGGCTAAAGGTAACTCCAGTAACATATCTTAAGTTCTAAGGTCACTCTTAAGCCATATTTCAATGGTTGAGCATCAGAGAAACCAGTAAACTATAAATTAGTTATACAAGTACCGTTTCCTGCCTGAAGGGGGCAGTGGTGCTCTAGAACAGTACATCGGCTGACCCAAAGAAAGAGAAGAAGATTTACCCGGAAGCCAGGTTATTTACAGAGAACTTCTGGAGGCAAGTATGAAATCTTCTCAACCAAAATGAAATGACTTCATATCACTAAAGCTCAGAATTAAACTAGTCTCAGTTATTGTTATAACGGTGCTCTGTTATTCGATAAACGTCTAAAATCGGTTTATACATGTGGTTTAAATTCATAAGTAGCAACATTAGCAATAACTTAACTCTATCTGATCAGAGTTATAATATGGAGCAATTGCTGTTTTCAACCTTATATTGTTTATTAACAGCTTAAAGCTTCGTTTTCAAGGTTCCCGAAGACACTAAGCTACTTAGGACGGGTTTTTTTTCTGTTCGGCTTTGTTTATTATGTGGTGCCTCGAGACGTAGCTGTTTTTCTCGATGATTCGTATCCAAGATTACGCTGCACGTAAAATGTGAAGAGTGGGTGATTCTTCTAATCTAAACCGAAGTTTTTATTTAGCATCCATAGCTCACACACTTGCTGGCCATTGAGCTCTAGCTTCCATTTGTGAGGACTGTAATGTAGTGGTTGCCTACAGAAAGCATGAAGGGACACATCACTGGCAATTCCTGGAGGATGGAGATTGACTCTTTAAATTGTTGTCCTTACAAACCAAAAGACACACAGAGCTAACAGAAAACTATTTTCAACAGCTGTTTATGGGAAACAAAATGATCCTAACTAAATTAACATCTTTATTGGATAATGTCTCCCATCACATGCATGAAGCCGCTGCAGAACTGCAGAGCTCCTTCAGTGACAGACTGCTGCACCCTAAATGCACCAGGGAGCGTTATCACAGATCCTTCCTCCCAGCAGGTGTTAGACTTTATAACCACCACTGTTCCCAACAACCTCAACAAGTTGGTATCTTCCTGCTGATTTTGCAGAGTTTCTACCTTAGTCAGTCGAATAACATGCTGCTGCTTTTGCACATATCTGATGCTGCTGTTATTTTACAATATCCACTTCTGTTAAAATGTCCAAAGCTGCATATTGGTTCTCCAGGTGCACAGTTTTATATTGTTAAAACTCTTTACAGTATTTTATTTTATTTATTTTAATAACATGCTACTGCTTTTGCACATCTCTGATGCTGCTGTTATTTTACAATATCCATTACTGTTAAAATGTCCAAAGCTGCATATTGGTTATTTATTCTCCAGTTTTATATTGTTAAAACACTTTACCGTATTTTATTGTTTATCTTTTAACTCTTCCCTATTATGTTATTCTTAGACATTTTTCTAAGGTCCACATTTGTGTGACAATTTTTAATAATCTTTCAGTAATGTGACTGTGACCAAAACTATCCGGGTCTTCCCCAACCAGAAGCCCTGGATGACCAGTCAGGTCCGCTCCCTTCTTAGAGCCCGTGACGCCGCCTTCAGGTCAGGAGACAGAGCTCTGTATAGTGCTGCCAGAGCTGAGCTGAAGAGAGGGGTCAAAGAGGCTAAAGC